TATCTTTAGACCCAAGAATAGCTCAGGAGGGGAAATGGGCATGTTATTGATAGGAGCAGTGACTAATCTTGAACATGTTGTCATGGGAAAGGAAGCTGCCTGAAAAACCCACATGCTTCATGGTTCCATTTATGGGATGTCTGGACAAAGATGAAGCTTTAGAGACAAAGTAGATATGGTGATTGACAGTCAGGAAGCAGTATTAGGGGTGGAAGAGTAGTTGACTTCTAAAGTCAGGAGGAGGGTAGGGGATGGGGGGGCAATAAAAGCAGTATATCACCATCACAGCATGTGCACAGGACTGTGCATTTGCTGAGATTTAAGGAGCTTTCACTAAAAGGGTCAATTTTACTATACTAAATTTTGAAAAATGAGCATGAAGTTTGACGTGACTATATCAGGAGTTCAAGTTTTTCCTAGTACTGTTTGGTGCTGAGCTGCATAGTTCAGTGGATTATTGGGACATACAGGAGGCTCAGGTGTGCATAGCCGAGTCACAGACATTCATCTAGCTACCTCCAACCACAGCAGCATCCCTGTGCCTTTCACACTCACACGTTCCAGGGCCTGAGGATTGCTCTCTACCATGCTGCCCCTGTTCTCAGACACAAGCAGGAGGCAGGGCCAGGAATCTGCAGATTGGCATCTAGACAGGCAGAGGATGGCCTAAATCGCTCTGCTGGGACACTGCTGTGTTTTCCTGGCCAGCTGCTCATCCTCCCCTGTGTCTCAGAGTCTTCACTTCCTCATCCATATTTATTCTGTGGAACAGCCTTGTGGGTACTGCCTGGATTCTGGTCTGGCACTGGAGTGCCACTAGAGCCACATTTGGTGTCATTCTCCATCTATAAACTGGGGGCAATAATAGACCTCTTTCATGGGGAGTCCAAAGATTAAGTGATGCACATTTGTGTGGTACATGGCCCAACACCTGACATGGTGACCCTGTGAAGAATATAGTGATTTTCTTGGTTATGGCCCTTATTACATTGGTAATACAAAGATCTGTTTGTGTGCATGTATCCTACAGCCACACACAGGGCAACATCATGAGGCTGGGAGCTGTGTCTTGTGGAGTTTAGTATCTCCCAAGTTGCCAGCACAACTGAGTATAAAAGATGCCTCCTGAAGTTTTCAACTGAGTAGACAGATTCAGCTGTGACTTTGGGGTAGTGGGCACACTGAAGAGCCTGATCATCAGAAAGGTCATAGCTCACATGGTGTGGAGCTCACTGGCATGAGCTGCATCCACAGTCTTCCTGTCTCCACCAGGCTGTAGCCCAGGCATGGGACTGAGTGCCTCAAGATTCTCAGCAGCTCCTCTGTCCTTTACAACCAGGCACCCCTACCCCAGTCATCACAGGTTCACCTTCCTGCGCTCTCATGTACAAGGACAGAGATTCAAGCATGAGTCTGGGTGGGAACAAGATCAAAATATAAGGCTTTGTCTGTCTTTCTAGCTGGATAAATATCAGGCCCAAGAAGCCTCCCTGGTGCTGGAAAGACAGGTGGAAGTCTGTTCATGGTCCCGTTTTGAGCCCATAGTCAGTGGGGGATACTGATGAGGAGGCTGAGCACTTTGCATTTATCAGGATGTACATATGGGAGATGGGGTATGTCTCAGAAGATTAAACTGGATTGCTTAAGGAAGAGTGAATAGGTCACTGCCCTCTCTCAGGCTCCCAAAGCCAACAATACTCATGTAGAATGAGGTGGATTCAGTTTAACTGGAGCACACAGAGAAGATCCAGAGTTGGTACAGCCAAGATGCATTCACAGAGGCTTAGGGTGCAGAGTAGAGATGGCAACCGATGCTCTTGATCTGTGCCTTCCAGCCTTACTTTGGATATGGTGTTCAGTTCTGACAGGCACATTTTTGGGTGGATGTGTCCAGTCAGTCATGCTAGTGGTTGATAATTAGGATAATGAGATGACCTAGCACTGTTTTGCATAAACAATAGGTAGAAAGATTTTGCTTAGGGAATAGAAATGCGCTAAGAGCACAATAGTGGCAATCCCTAACAGGCTCCATGTCAGGATACTGGTCCCATTCCATGTGTCTCTCATTTGCACTGCTCTGTAGAAATTCCTGCAGGAACTGAATGATTGTTATGCACGAGCTATGTGATGGATAACAGATTCATGTGGCTGTGTGTGTATGTGTGTGTGCATAGTATAGGTACATGGTCATGTCTGTATATACATTTGTGTCTGCATGTGTGCAGCTATCTTTTTAGTTGCTCTCCACTTCACTTTATGAGACAAGATACTTCACTGAACTTGGGGTTGACAGATTTGTACAGTTTTGGTGGCTAACCAGCCCCAGGGAATCCCTCTGTTTCTGCCTTCCCTGTTCTGGTATTACTATGTTCTGCAGCTATTATAGGGATGTTGATGGTTAAATTCAGCCTCCCTGCCCCATACTTTTGTGGTAAACACTTTACCACTTGAGTCATCTCCCCAGACCTCTGGTGTTTTTTGTTTTTTTTCCCCTTCAGTTAACAAATGACTACAGATTGAATTTTATAAAATTGTTAACTGAAATATTAGCCTATATGGCCAGTGGCCGCTGTATGGGATGCCAACTCTCTAAAGCAATGGTTCTCAACCTGTGGGATGTGCCTCTTTGGCAATCTCCTATCACCAAAACTATTTACGTTATGATTCATAATAGTAGCAAAATTATATTATGAATTAGCAATGATAATAATTTTATGGTTGGGGGGTCACCATAACATGAAGAACTGTATTAAAGGGTTGCAGCACTGGGAAGGTTGAGAACCACTGATCTAAAGAACAGCTACAAGAATAGACCAGGGATCAACTATTTTTTTCTAAAAAAAAGTTAGCAGATATATTTGTCTCACCTCAGAGTCTTCAAAAGCAATACACAGAAAGGGAACTTGACCAAGCACCAGTAAAACTCTATCTGTGGACACCAAGGTTTGATTTTAGCATACTTTTTTACGTTATAAAAACAGTATTTTCCTTTTGATGATATTTTTTCAACTCTTTAAAAAATGCGAGAGTCGCTCTTAGCCCACAGGTTATGAGAGAGTGGACGGCAGGCTGGCCTGGCCTGCAGGCTGCGGCTCACTGCTCTGACCTCGGCTGTGGGTGGAAACTTTAAGAAGAATCATAGGTCAGTCCAGTGAAGACAATGCTCATCTTGCTGGAGCCAGCAGCAGAGTGATCCCCCTGGGAAGTGCTGGCTAGATACCCAACTGTCCATCAGAGGTTAAGTTACGCTAGTGTGTTCCTCCAATTCTGTAGACATGTTGAAGTTAGGGGAACACACGGACGCTGCAAATACACTGCTTTGCAGAGTAAGGTCACCACCCTCACTTGGGCTCCGTTCTTTGTCTCTGCCCCATGGGGGTGGGTCAGGAGCTTTCTGGGGGCTAAGCTGGCTTTCTTGCTTTCTCATTTCTGCCACATACTCAAGGTTCCCTGAAATGTGCCTTTGTGGAGGGTATGTTCACTTATGCTCATCTTTCCCTTACTGTGACAAAATACTTGAAATAAACAACTTATAAGGAAGAAAGGGTTAGGCTAACTCCTGGTGTCATCAAATGGTTTGTTGCACTGTGATTTTGGGTCTATGGTCAGGAAGAACTTTGTGGAAAGGGAGCCACATGGTACAGGAGCCCTGTCCACCTCGGCACTGCTAAGTGGTCAGGAAGGAAAACAAAACAAAACAAAACAAAAAATAACCCAACCTAATAGAACTAAAAGGTCTGAACTCCACTATGCCCCAGTTCTTAAAGTTTTACTACCCAATATAGCAATGGGCTGGGAGGTAGCTCCATCGGTAGAGTGCTTGCTTAGCCTGGAGCCCTTGGTTACATCCCCAGCACTGCGTGAGTCAAGTGTGGGTGTGCACACAAGTCACCTCAGTATTTAGGAGATGGAAGCAGAAGGTCATCCTCACATCTATAGTAAGCTGGAAGCCAGTCCAGGGTACATGGACCCCTGTCTCAAAAAACAAAAAAAACTCTATCCAACCAAACCGCCTCCCACCCATCCACCCACCCAAACAACCTAACAAAAAACAAAAACAAAAACAAACAAACAAAAAAACAAAAAACAAACCAAGAGTGCCATGAGCTGGGTATGAACCCCTTAACACATGGGCCTTCAGGGAATATTCAAGATCCAAACTGTAGCTGTGAAGAGACTTTGCTGAGATTACCAAAGCTCCCATCAAGAAAGGAGAGCACCTGTGTTCTGCTACTTAAGCTCCCCGTAGCAGACAGGACGGCTGGGTTTAGGATGAGGACTTGAGAGCCTTTACCCTCATATGGTTCCTTCTGTGGATGGGACATGCTTCAACCTGTGGTGGCAGAAGGTCGCTTCTTATCCCCCTCCTCTGACAAATGGGGAACCATAACTCCCTAGGAAGCTTGGTGTCTATATCCAGATGAGCCCCAGAGCCTGCAGTAGTAGGCATGGCCTGTTTGGGGCTGCTGATGTAGTCTTTGGACATTTAGAGATGTGATTGTTTCTCATCATGACAGCTTAGCTTCCTCATCTTTCCTCCTTTCCCCCAACTTCTTTTTACTTACAATGGGCATTTCTGCCAAACAAACAAACAAACAAACAAACAAACAAAAAGATAAATAAATAAGCTGCAGTGTCTGTCAAGGGAGATGCTAAAAGCACTGGTTGGAAATTTAACATTTTTATGCCTTTACCAAACTCTGCTGCATCAGAATAGTTTCTCTACATCCTTTGTACAGGCTGCAGATGGAATAGAAAACATTAAAAAAAAAAAAAAGTTACATGGGAAGTTTCACAGCAAGCAAACATGGTAGACAGAAGACAACAAACCCATGTGCCCATTGCCAGTTTTGACAGGGGTCAGCTCCTGGCCAGTTTTGTGTGGCTTCCACTCTGTCCTTTCTTCCTATGGTGTGGGGGGGGGAGGGGCTGCAGGAAGTTTTTGGTAAGGGCACTGACCACATGGGCACAATATCCTAACAGTATGTGTTCTTTTTCAGATCATCGCCTTTGACGAGTTAAGGACAGATTTTAAGAGTCCTATTGACCAGTGTAACCCTGTCCATGCCGTAAGTAGTGGTGCCAGTAGTTGGCAGGGAGTTTCCCCTCAAGTCACTGGGCTCACAAAGTACCGTGGAGATTTTAAAGAACAGAATAAAGGAGAATGTATTATCCTGGTCCTGCCTCTGTTCCTTGCTGAGGCCAGCTGAGCTCTTGCGATACATTGCCAGCCAAATGTATCAGTTCCTGTGACTCAGCCAAATGTATCAGTTCCTGTGACTTGTGGGGGGGGGGGCAGCTGCACTATGGTGCTGAGTCCTCAAAGCCTGGTGCCAGTGACTTTTGGGTCCTTATCTATGACCATAGACAAAGGCTCTGTGTTGGCTGGCATGTCTGCAGGGTGTGCAAGTACCATGTATGGATTTCTTGTTCTGTGGGAGGTGGGCATTGGTTGGGTTTCTCATGGAGGGTAGATGGATAAATGCAGTACCAGGAACAGCCCCATTATCTGGTGGGCTTTCATCTCTGGTGCCTGTGGCTTGGGGTCAGCTTGTTGCACATCAGGGAATCTGGTGTGGTCTGGTGGATGAGCTCTGGGATCTGTTTCTGGATGTCAGGTCTGGAATCCAGCTCTGCTCATCTCCAGAGCCTGTCTTCTGACCACCAGCTCAAGTTGGTTCTTGAAAAAGACTTGGCTTTATGATATCTAAGCCTTGCTTTGGCATAACAGTCTTTGATTCTATAAAGTAGAGCCAAACTCTTTCAAAGTCAGCTATAAAAAGCAAACTGGGTTAGGTAAAAGTACCCTAAAGAACTACTTGAAAGCTTAGTGTATTTCATAAAAGTTGTAGTTTTTAAAACCCACTTTGTTTTCCACCAGTCTTACCTTCACCTGTGATAACTTGGCTCTGCCAGGCCTGAATGGTTTTTGCCCAGGGGCTCATGTCTTTCTGGACACTGAGTTTGGCACCAAAAGTACACACCTGCTCGTCAGTACCCATAGGTGCTCAGGGTGGCTTGAAGCCAAGCCTGTTCATCTCCAAATGCCTGGAAGTCAGGAGCCTGAGCTCCCTCCCACAGCTTATCTGGAGTTTTGAGGCAGGATCCCCGAGCAGAGTAAGTGGGAAAATTTGTTCAGCCCCTTGTTTCCACCATGCCGGTTCCATGCCAGGTTGCAGGCACCTGCCCCAGCCTGGAGAAGCTTTTGTGGAGTCTGTTTTCAGCATCAGGACTTTATCATGCCTTTATTTAGGCATTAAGTTAGGATTTGCATATCCCCCTCCTCTTAGAGGGGAAGGGGTGCTTCTGGAAGAGGATAGTGCAGAAACAGCAGTCATGAGTTAACATCCAGATCTACTTGCCAGAAACAGAAACGAATGCTGAAGGATGAAGGCATGGACCTCTATCCCTTTCTCTTCCTGCAGTGCTGGGGTGGAGCCCAAGCCTTTGCATAGGCAAGACAAGTGCTTTACCACTGAACTAATTCAGCTCTGGTTTTTTTTTTTTTTTTTTTTTTTGTAAACTCCTATTACAGCAACATTTCTAATTAGTTATCAGATTAATTAAGGAGCTGAGTCCTGTGAAGCCCAGACATGGACAGACTAGAGCTCAAGGTACCCCTGGGGAAGAAGGATTAAAAACAAAACCAAAAGAATCCTAAAAGCTGTAATTAGGCAAGTGCATAGACATGTTATGATTTTCCCTGTTGTCAGGGCATTACTTCCCAGCAGGGAATGAAGTGTTCCAGCCACTTCATTCAACTGCTCCAGTCCTCTGACCTCCTTGAAGCCTCCAGAGTAGAGCAACATTCAGGCTCTGAGACTTACAGACTTGGCCTCACTGGTTGACAATTCTGGCCCTAGAGGAACTTGGGTCCCAAGAAATTACTGACTGTGCAATGCATTTATTTTTTGGGGAGGGGTGGAGTTAGGGATTTCAAGACAGGTTTTCTCTGTGTTACAGTCTTGGCTGCCCTAGAACTCACTTTGTAGAGCAGGCTGGCCTTGAACTCAATGATGTCCACCTGCCTCTGCCTCCTGAGGTGCTGGCTGGCCTCAAACTCACAGAGGCAATGCATTTCTTAATGAGGGCATAAGATCCACTTGGTTTCCCCCCCCCCCCCACTGTCTTATGGTAGGCACAGAACTCAGATCTTTGGGTATTGCTAGGGAAGCCCTCACCCCTGAGCTACAACCCATGCCCCATAGATTTACGATGCCTTAAAGCTTCAAGTAACCCTAACCCTATGGACCTCTTCCAGGGCCAGGAGGGTTCAGTTTGCATCCTCAGTCCCCACTGGGAAGTCTCTGTCACAGGGACAGTGTTTTCCTGTCCAGCTTGCTGGAATATGTGCATCTCTTGCTTGTATATGCTTCTGTATGAATTCTCTCATGTGTATAGCTTGTGTTCCCTGCCATGTGGACAATAACTCATCATGACGTGGCTCCTTCCTCTGGGTTTATGGGCTGCACAGAGATCACTGTATTTATGATTCAATTAGGGAAACTGAAGTGTCCGGGCCACCTGTCCTCTCCTGATCCACAAGGAAACTCATTACCATTATGTCTATGGCAACTAAATTACCTCCGTAATGAAGTACAGAGCTGCCACAGCTGTGTTCGGCGTTGCTCAGAAGTCCTGACAGTTATACCAGAGAAAGGAAGCTAGGGGCATCTAACGTCTGCTGTGGGCAGCTTCATGCCATCTTTCCCTGGAAATGAGTCCTTGGAGACAGATGGACTCTAGAAAAGTCAGAACTCAGGGCACAGTTGGTAACCTGAGTCCAGAGAGGGCTTGCTTCCTTGAAGTACACTCACATAGAAAAAGGCAAAGCAAGATAGTATCTACTAATGAGGATCCAAGCTTGCTGCTCTTGAGATCCACTGAAGTGTCCTGTGCCTGAGATACTCAGTGAGCATATGGTGCCCACTCTGCATCCAGACCATCCGTTGTGGGGACTTCGACCATAGGAAAATGAATGCTGGGTGGGAAAAGAAGAATGCATGCTTTTGCCAGGAGTGTGTACATGCTCATGTGTATGTGTGCGCACATGTGTTCAAGTACATGTCAACATGTGTATTGGTGCTATGTGTCTTCCTCAGTTTCTCTGCTAAGATTTGTTTGTCTTGCTTTTGCTTTTTAAGGTGGGATCTGTTATAGGGCTGGAAAGATGACTCAGTGGTTAACATTCCCTACTGCTCTCCCAGAGGACCCGAGTTTGGTTCCTAGCACCCACATAGGTTGTAACTATAGCTACAGGAGCTCTGATGCCCTCTTCTGGGCTCTGGATACCTGGGACAATGTGCACATACCCATACTTACACACACACACACACCACGATTAAATCATCGTCATAATAAAGACAGGGTCTCTCAATGAATCTGGAAGTTTTAGATTTGGCTGGACTGGCTGGTGAACAAGCCCCAGGGGTCCTCTTGTCTCCACCTTTCTGGTACTGAGATTAAGGATGTGTGACGATACAGCTGGCTCGTTACATGAGTTCTGGGATCTGAACTCAGGTCCTCATGCCTGCAGTGGCAAACACTTTACCCCCTGAGTCATCGCCCCAGCCTGCCAGGGGAGTTCTTTAAAGGGTGGATTTCCACCAGGCACAGTGGCTCATGCCTATAAAACCGGCACTTGGGAAACTGGCACAGGAGTGCCATGAGTTTGAGGCCAACCAAGGCTGCACAATGAGCTCCAGAATTAAGACCCTGTCTCTTAAAACAAAACAAAACAAAAAAACAAAAAAAAAAAAAAAAAAAAAAACAATGAAACAAAACAGAATAAAAGAACAGAAAGCAAGCATGTGGCCGTGATGAGGTAAAAGCCAGAGGTTCAGACTCTGCTGGGAAGAGCCACTGGCATTTGCCTAGCCTGTGTCTCCATGAGTTCCGCTTCCTCTGTGTGGTATACTGTGCATGCCTCATACCCTCAGCCACCCTTAACCTCCTGTTTCCTTTCTTTCCTGCACGCCTCAGAGAGAGCGGCTGAGGAACATCGAACGCATCTGCTTCCTTCTGAGAAAGGTCAGAGGGGTCCTCCAGGTGGATGGAGGGAGGGAGGGTCATATCGAAAGGGGTTGTCAGGTGAATGGCAGTGGGGATGGGGTGGGGGCTAGGTGGGAGGAGACCTTAGTTCTCTGGAAATCTTCAGAGGCAGGAGGGACTAATTAGAGGAGGTGGCCTTCAGTCAGGTGTCAGCAACACACTGGCCATGTCCAGGGGCTCTCTGGTTGGAGATGTAGGGCGTCCCTTTTCTTTTTTATGATGGTAGGCTTTTACAGCTCCTGCCACCTCCCAGTCTTTGTTCCTGTCTGAGCTGGGCTCAGGATTTTAATGACAGGAAGTTTTTTTTAACTAGTGTCTTGAGGTTTGAACCTGTCACTCAGCTTTGCAGTTTGGCCTTTCAGCAGGATCACTGAGTATGTTGGAGGGGTGGGACAGGAAAGTGCTGTCAAGGGGGGGTGGGCAGTAGACCACAACTGCCCCAAGCTCCTTCTGGAAGCCCTTGTGCATGCATGCCAGCCAGGCTGGATGTTTGGCATTGTCTGTTCAGATCCTGCTTTTTCCCAGTCAGGAAAGTAAGTCAGCAAAGCTTAGCAAAGAGGCACTCACCGCTGAAATATGCAAAGTTCATGGCCTTGAGCCAGTGGCCATCACTGACCTCAGTACACTGGTCACAGGAAAGCCATTGTTTGCCCAAATACAGACTTTTGTGAAACCAAGCACCCCAACAGCACTGACACAAGGGAAAGAGTTTTTTACAAAGTTTTCAAGTTCTTTTCTGTATTTCATTGGAGGGAGCCTAATCTAGAAGCCCATCGTTTCTCCAGCTAATCAGTTGCCCTTTAAGGTTCTCTAAGAAACCCTGTATGTTAGAATTCTGCATCTTATTTGTCTCAGCAGGGATGCTCAGATGAGAGCATGTATTTGATAATACTAGTGAGCCAAGGAATAAAGGACGATTAAGACAATGGCATATAATTTGCATGAAAAATGTGCAAATTACTTCCTAGATAATGTCACAGATACCAGTAACCCGCCCCAGTGATCATCAATTCCACATTCTCTGGTTTGTTTCTTAAGATAATACCTAAGTGATACAAGCCTGGGGAAGGCAACAATCAAACTGTTGTTTCTCAGATCCCAGGTTGCTACCCTCCCATCCTGAGTGCATCACCCTGTGTTCTGTGGCAGGTGATCACCATATTCATCTCCCTTAGCCTCACCCAGCCTTCTGTTGTTGAACCACAGACCGGCCATAGGAGGCAGCGACTGGGGGTTACCCTATCCAGGTCCTGCTGCTTATGGTCTTATGCCCTAGGCTTTCCAAGGTCAGAGTGAGGGTGTGAAGTAAGCTCTTCAAGAATTAGCGTTGTCATATTCAAATCTGCATGTGGTTTGCATCTGTCCCTCTAAACCATAGATAGTAGCGGTTTACTCAGGAAATATTGTACTCCAAGTGCCTTTTCCTTACTCCTTTCTTTCTGGCTGCTGCCTCCAATGCTAGTTAGACATAATTGCTGCTCACTGCGGTGAGCAACACCAGGAAAGACAGTCTAAGATAGGCTTCAGAGAGCAGGAACACCAAGCCGACAGATGGAGGCACAAGAGGTATGTGAGGTCACTCCCTGCAGCCTCGTGCTTCTCTGGCTTCATGGAGTGGCCAGCACCTTGGGGTTAACAAAACAGATGCCAGTCAAGTGCCCATCACTTTACTCCTCCTAGGAATCTCCCTTTGGCTCCAAGCTCTTGCCCCAAGCCTGGCTTTCGGCCTAAGATGCTGCTATATATTCTTTGCTGTTGTGTCTGCCTGCCCTGGGTACCTGAGACTGTTTTCAATGATGGCAGCAGAACTCATTTCTTTCTGGGTGTAATTCCCAGTTGTTGAGACTTCTGCACCTGACCAATGGGAACTCTGTAGGCTATCCCCACAGATGTGTGTAAGTGTACTATGCACACGGTCTGTCTCTGCTGCTAGAATGCTCTGGAAGGTGTCAAGTTGATCATCACATATGGTGATAGTGAATGAAAAGCCTATTGAAGATGTTCATTTTGTGTTTAATAAGTGAATAAATAATAGCTAATTTGGTCCCTCTTGTTAGGAGTATTGCCATAGTCTTCATTTTGGCGGTGCCAGGACAATACCAGATATCTACTATGTACTGCCCTTGCCCTTAGAGACGGAATTTATTTATTTATTTATTTATTTAGCTGTCGTGTGTGTGTGTGTGTGTGTGTGTGTGTGTGTGTGTGTGTGTGCATGCGCGTGCGTTTGTGTGCGTTTGTGTGCGTGTGTGCATGCGTGTGCGTGTGTGTGGGCGCGTGTGCGTGTGTGTGATAACAGCACATCTTCCAATCTTTCTAATCCTTTCAGACAGTGCCACTCCCTGGTAATTAAGCATTCAAATGTGTGAGCCTACAGGGCGGGGAGATTTCTATTCAAGCTACCACACTGGTGAAGTGTGCAAACATCCACCTTCCAATTCTACCCCTACCTTTAGCATTTGTGTGACCTGTGGGGTATGGCTCAGGATGGCCCTCTTTTTCAGGAGGATAACACTGGGTATTGAACACTGGGCTTCATGCATGCAAGGCAAGTGCTCTACCACTGAGCTATGTCCCCAGGCCTCAGGGCAACTCTTAAGTGAGAGAACAATAACAATTCATCCTTATGGCATTATCCTGAGAATTAAAGTAGATAATACACACATGCAGTTTACATGTACTTAACACCTAATGAATGTCACTGTTACTGACCCGCCCCTCACTCCTCCTAAAATCCTTTATGGCATTTCCACGGGCACACAGGTTGAGATGATGCTTTGGCTGGTGACATCCTTCCATCATCTTAGGTAAGTACCATTTGTGGTTTGGAGACAAGGTTGTGAACAAAAGTGGTAGGGCCTGGGCCTCCCCTCCTATTGTTCATGTTTCCAATGGGCTTTGCTCAGATTCCCAAGCTATGAGCCCATGTTAGGGATAATGGAAAGGCCTTGTGGATCTAGTTAGCATCACCACCTTCTGGGAATTGTACCTTCCAAGAAATTCTTGGAACCAGCTTCCCAAACAGCCCTGAATGGATGTGTCTCCACAGTTGATTGCTGCGGAGCCACCTCCCCGGCCTTCTTGGGAGAAAGGAAAGGGCTGCAGAGTGGATCCATTTTTAGCTCTATAATTATCAGAAAATGTGTTCTTCGGGTAATTGTCTGAACTGCAGGGTGCTGGTGCTGACTTGCGCTTATGATTCATGTTTTGTGGCTCCTTGTGCTGCTCTCTTCTCCCGGTGTGTAATAAGTAGGTTGTGGGTTGTTGTACATACACTCTGTTTGGGAGACACATCATAGAAGGTTTGATGTCTGCTCCCAGGCACACACAGGCTTCTCATGGTGGGCAGACTTGGGAGGGGTGGCCTACTGCATCTGTGGGTTCAGAGTGACCTCAGGGAAGGGCTTATGTGGGAACCAAAGAGTTAGGGTGAGAATAAAGAGGGACTTGCTTTATTGACAGCAATCCTCAGGCCTCAGATTTGGTAGTCCTGGCGTTCTTTTGGTTATTGGGAGAGCCAGGGCTGCAGTGATTGTGAGTTTGGTTGATCTTGCCCAATGCAAGGGACTTGGCTGCTTAGTTTGGAATATCACTCTTGCTTAACAACTCTGGGATCCTTCTTCAAGTCCCAGTTTCTCCAAGAGTATGTCTGGTTCCATGGCAGGTTTTCTGGTGTTAGTGGATGGAATCACCTCTTGTGTGCAGACCACTTCTAGTCTCCTCTTGAGAATTCTGGTTGAGATGTGGAGGGGTGGGTGGGGTTTGTGGAGGTAGTGGGGCTGATTGGAAGGACAGATGCTCTGGGTTCAACCCTGGACCAATCACAGAGGCAGTAGGACTACAGGAATGCCCACATGCTCCCTGGCCCAAGCTTCCCAGATGGTGCCTCTGTCACAGAGAGGAGCCCAGGTATGAAATAAAGCTGCCAACACCAGTTGAATCTATTGCAGAAACTCCACAAAGAGGCTCCAGAAGCAACCACTTTCCCATGCAAGCCACCTCTGTTAAAGGAGGGGGCCCTGTAGCCTCAATTTGCCACACACATGGTTACACAAACACTTATAATCCAAGCCTGGCTTCATGGTTTTCAAGGTCCAGTGAAAAATCACAAGATAAGGCTTTAAGCCAGAGAGAGAGAGAGAGAGAGAGAGAGAGAGAGAGAGAGAGAGAGAGAGAGAGAGAGAGAGAGAGAGAGAGAGAGAGAGAGACCCAAGAACCAGATAGCAGAGCATTCAAACAAAGTGGTTCTCTTGAGACCGCTGTCCTGTGCCACCACACGGGCCACATGTCCCTGTGGTTGGTTCCACCTGTGTCCATGGTCTGTAATCCTTCCTGCTACAATCTTATGTCTTCTCTCTATTGAAGAAGGGTTTATCCACAGGACCAGGTTTGTTCACGGGGATATTGCTAGATGTTTGTACATGTTGAGGCTTTCAGAACCACTGGGAACCCTTTCCCTCTGTAAGTACTGACGCCTCCAAGGCCAGCCCAGTGGTGTGAGGAGAATGAGGTACCAAGGAAGTCACCTGAACCATCTGTCACTCAGAGCCAAACCCACTAGATCCCACAAGCCTGCCTACCTATTAGATACCTGAACAAATGTAAATTACTCTTGTTTTAAGACATTGAATTTTAGAATGATTTATTATCTAATACTATTATGGCAATAGCTGTATTAGTCAGCTTTCTGTCACTGTGATGAAACACCTGAGACAATTCATGCATAAAGGGGTGACAGTTACTTTGGCTCACACTTTCTGGAGTCAGGTGGCCTCAGGTAACCTTGGCCTCATGGTTAGCACGTCTTGGCAGGAGTACATGGCAGGGAGAACTACTCGCCTCAGGAACTACAAAACCAAGAGGATGAAGAGGAGGCTGGGTCCCTCCGTTCTCTTTGAGGAAGCATCCACAGTGACCTAAGAGCCTCCCACTAGGCTCTGTCTCTTATGAGCTCTACCCCCCAATAGCATTACGCAGGT